ACACGAGACGAGCAATTTTTTATTTTTATTTGGCTCGCGAACTAGAACGATTTTGGTCGAACCATGAATTTTTTGACACGAATACAAACGAATTTAACGAGATTGATTGAAAATGAGATGGTTCGAAACGAATTGATGCGATATTGTCCGAGTCGGTTTTACATCACTAGTTTCAACCATATTTTACAAGATATGCAATATAATAGATGTTATCTACAAATTAGTTTACTAATAGGCCAATATTTTGCTTGTCTTATATCAATTGCACAGAATATGGTTTCATTGTTAATAATATCATAGTTGTTGTTTTGCACCAAGTATGAGATTTGTTAGAGAAAATTTTCGTTGCATTAAACGTTTTGATACATACCCACAAAATAATAATTGTATAGACAAAATAATTATATATAAAAAAATCATTCCGCTTTATTGGACGATTTTTTTTTTTGAATGTCCTCTCTTTTATTGTACCTAAAGATTTTGAATAGGGATTATAGACACACGTTTACATTATTAATTGTTCTAATAAAATATGAACTACAATTCTAGAAAATTGGGACAAATATTTTACACTTGTAAGTATAAAAAAATATATTATTTCAAATTACACATACAAATAAAGTGTGTTAAAAATTATAACACTTTATTCTATCAATAAAAATAAAATAAATTTAATTAAAATAACTTATTTTACCATTAAAAATTTTATATTTATTAAACCTATAAAAAATAGTGAGGTCGAGATGAGTATGTTGAGATAGATATGCGGATATACAAGGATGTATAAAATTAGGAATGATACTATTAGAGAAAAAATAAGTGTAATAGGTATAGAAGAAAAGTTAAGAGAGAGACTTTTAAGATGGTTTGGACATATATAATATAGATCGATGGATGAGCCGGTTAGAAAAGTGGAGAGTATAGAAATGAAGTGAAGAAAAAAAGAAGGGGTAAACCTATACTTACTTGGGAATGATTTGAAATTGTTACAAATTCCAAAAAAAAAACTAACGCAAAACCGAAATGTGTAAAAATGAAGAATCCATGTAGCCGACCCCAAATAAACTTGGCACGAAGGTGATGTTGATGTTGATGATGTTGATGTTAAACCTATACAAAATACTTATGTTAGGAATGAGATTATTAGAGAGAAAATCATGACTTATGAAAAATAATTACTATATATTTTTTGAAATTATAAAATTATAAAATACTTATGTTAAACGATTATATCATGATATATTTTTTTTTATATTAGAGTCCAATTTTTTTTTATATATTCATTCTGAGTAGAAACACGTCACATTCAATATTTAAAAGCAGAAAACGATATGTGAGACTTTCAATTTGAAATCTTAAATATTGTTTTTTTTTCATTTCTATTTATTTTCTTTAAATCAAGATAAAATAAAATTGAATTGATTGAATTAAATGAAAGTTTTATTACTAGTAATTTGGAACTCTTATAAAAATTTAAAAGTTTTTCACAATTTATAGTGGAACACTTGGATAATTTACAATGCTTTATATTTGCATATGACTATAAGTAGGGTGTTAATTTAGGCCCGAGGTCTGAAATTCAGTCCGGCTCAATCTGAAAATTAGCAGATTTAAGATTTAAATTTTCAGGCCCGTAAAAATTCGGGATTTTGGACTGGGTTCAAATCGATTTTTAGGCTCGAGTCGGACCGGCCCGAAAGCCCGAAATTTTGAAAAAATTAAAAAAATAACATTTACAAAAGGAATTATGCGGACCGGTCCGACCTGACCTGACTCAAGTCCGAAATATATAGGGTCGGGTTTTGGGCTTAACTTTATAAGCCCAGAAAAAAAGGGGAAGTCCCGACCCTGAACCCGAAATCTTCGGATCGAGTACGGATTCGAGCCGGCCCGATTGATACCCTAGTTACAAGGATTTCTTTTTCCATATTAAATTGGTTGAGTCGTTAATTTTTACAGATAAATTAGTTGAATAAATTTAGATTTCAATAATATATATTGTTTGGAATAACAATACTATAATTATTCAAAATACTGTCATTTTTTTTTGTCATATTAATCTTTGCTATTCACAAAAAACAACTTTTTTTTTGGTAAAGGCACAGAAAACAACTTCATGTTGATTTACATGTGATCTCAAATTTTAAAATTTAAAATGTATCATAAATATAAATAATATTGATTTTATTTTTATACCGATTAAAGGTAATATGACATTTTATTTCAATTAAAATAAGAAAATTGCATTAATCATTTTGGTGGAAGTATTCTAACTGTATTTTGATCCTCCAGGTTTTACTTAATTCAATTAGTAACGAACAAAACCAGAGTGATTATGTCTGACAAAAATATCATACTATTATTATGGTTTGTAGAAGCGAACTTCATAAGAGGGAGAGAGAGAGAGAGAAGATTGTGAAAAAAATATACATATTGTTATCGTGATTCAAATAAAAATATCATTTCATAACAAAAAAAACAACATATTTATAAAAAATAAAACCTAATGTTGAAGGCGAGGTGGTTAAATAACATAATTGTCAAGGATGGTTAGGCATAATTGGATGACGAATATACGTAATGCTGCTAGTACCATTCATACTTTAAATGCGTGGGAGAGAAGGAAACAAAGACACCCAAAGAGAGAAATACAAACACACACACACTTGTAATTTAGCAGAGCCACTTGCATGGAGTGGTAGCGATGGGCTAAAATGATATAAGGATGAATCAATTAATTGGACATGAATGATTTCATATCCGTTACCCAAACAAAACATGTGGACCATATCCTACATTATACATATACCACATCTATATGCATTTATGTTTTTTTTTTTTTTTGTATAACAAGACACGAAAGTGAGATTAGGTGGGAGAGTATACTAAAACGTTTCTACAGAGGCTTCTGTATTTTGTAACGGCACAAAGAACACGCACCATGCATTTCTTTGGGTCGACATGAGTTCCTAACCCAACACACCAAACTTGCTGTTTTTTCCTATTATTATTATTATTATTATTATTGTTGTTGTTGTTGTTGTTGTTGTTGTTGTTGTATTCAATAAAAAATGTTACAAAAAATTAATCAACATAAAGAAAGAAAATAAATAAGTTGTCTGAGAGATATAATTAATCAAATGTCATCCACGATTGGGTGATTTGGCTGGTAAACGATGGAGTAAAGTGTTTTTTTAATTCATATTCGAATCTCCATTTGAGGAGCGATATTCACCTGAATTCTCGTATGGGAGATATAGTCGGACCAAAAATCCGTGTCTTTCGGATATCAAAAAAAAAATTAATCAAATGCCAGAAAAAAATATTTGAGAAAAACAGATATTCCGAATGGAATCTATTCCAAAGTTCCGCCCAAGAAGATGAGCTCAGATCTTTTTTTTTTTAAAAAAAAAGGAGAGAATTGATATTTTAATGTTTCGACAATTGGGGTGATTGTTTATTTGGTTTCTGAGTCTGCAGCAGACCATATCAGACTCGGACAGAGAGATAACGAAGTGGAGAGACCATATGACGCAGTCACTTGTACCACTCTCTTCTACTTCACCCTTCTCCTTTGTTTTCATTGTCTTGTCCGAAATGCCACTGATATATATCATGTATATATGTGTATCTATCGGCTGCCATTATTATTTTACAGCCCTTATTAACATTGTTTTGGAACTTCACTTGTGGGTCTTTTGTAAAGAAAATATTCCTTAGATTACATTATATATATATGTGCGCACATATATGCGTATCTAGATATATGCACGACGACCAGCGTATATAGAGGGGGAGAATATATATATATATATATACGTACGTGCAAGTGTGGTTACTAACAGTAACACGTGAGTACAAGATCCAACCATTATATTCCCAACGTAAAGTTTCCAAAAAAAAAACTTTTTTCCCCCAACCTCTTTTAAATGCTCTGCGCATATAAATCCAAAGAGTGTCGCAGCTCTCTGAAATTTCCCCTGAAAAAACTAGGACTCGAATTGGATCCATTACATAAAATTTATATTCCCTTCGGAATATTATTTCACATAAAAGCCCAAAAAACCAAATACACGGCATCGTTGCATGGAGTATCTGTTATGACTTAGAAAAAAAAAACAATCTTTTTCAGTGGCGTGGAAGGATTTTGGATTCGAGCCCTGCGTACGGAACGACGTCGTTTCTGGGGTCAGATGCGGCTGATGTCGCGGCCGAAGACGAAAGTGGTGAGCCAGTTGATGGCGACGTAGAAACGGTTCCTCCAGCTGATGACTCTGGTCAGATAAGCCGACCTCCACACGAACCAGCTCACGAATCCCGCCAATGATATCCCTTTCGCTTCCTGCACCCACAAACGCGGTTTTACGTACCGCCGCGTTTAGCGTTTAACGTTTATGTTTGCGGTATAAGACCGCTAGTAAATGATTTGTTCATCAGACCTTGCTCTCGCGGAGATCGACGAGGGCTTTGTATCTGCCAATGGTGGCCATGCTCCCGAGATGCTTATACACAAACGGGTCCCCGAAAGCAACGTCCTTTCCGCTATCTGCCCTTCCTCCACCCGCTTTCCCGATCTCGTTCAGCAGACCCGCCAAGTATTTCCCTTGTCGCTCAGCCACCTTTTCCCGATCAAACAAACACGATACAAAAATATTCGATCTTGAACATATCCATATCCATATCCATAATTCAGGGTCATCTCTACATATATATACACACACCTGGGCAAGTGCAGGAAGGGTTTGTTTCCCTGTGCTTTCTAGGTATCCACAACAGTCTCCAATGGCAAACACGTCTTGTACGGAAGGCACTCGAAGCCATTCGTCAATGCCAACCCTGTGGAGCCGAAATTAGAATATGAAACATTCGAATCCAAGGTGAAACATTATACAGTGACCAGGACATGACCTGACCTTCCACCGGGAGCATTTGGAAGGCCGAGAGAACGAACAAAGGACGAGGGGCCAACACCAGTCGACCACACCAATAGGCCATAGGGAACCTCCGTTCCATCGTCAAGAATCAGCTTTTGAGGCTTCACGTCTTTCACAATCCCACGTACAAGCCTCACTCCAGACTGAGTAAAACTATTAGTTTTAACATGGAAAAAAAAGATGCAAACATCCCCAAATGAATACAAGATGATTTAGCATCAGAGGGCAGTGAATTCGACTGTCTAGGGATTGGATTTTGATTTGATGAACCGAGCAATTAATTGTTCAGAGTCATAAAAAAGAGAAATGCTATCATACCGCAAACCAAATGCGGTGGAAAATGCTACAAGATGTTATGTCGGGAAAGTCTACTGATGAGCTCACCTTATTCAACTGTTTGAGTGCATAGTGCCTGAGGCGATCGTCGAACGAAGAAAGTATATCCTTTGCCTGTACACATCACAAAAACACCGTCCGTGTAAATTTTCTGACCCGTAAAGACCAATTTGTAAAAAGATCGATTGAACCCAAAGATTAGACGAAAACCTCTATCAAAGTAACGTGAATGTAGTTCTTCACATGGGCATATCTCTCACGAACATCCCTCATGATAAAATCACTCAGTTCACCACTGAATTCAACACCAGTCGGCCCACCTCCGACAACAACACAATGTAACAGCCTCGATTTCTCCTCCTCAGATATGCCTGATGAATAAATTTTTTTTTTCAGAAAAAGGATAATTAATTAACATTGGCGATCCGTACACAAATCAAAGGCTAGGTTAGATGTCGTACCAGGGACATCCGAGAGCATGAGGTTTAGGAGAAGCTTCCTACGGATCTCCTGCGCGTGATGAACCTCGCGGAGGAAGATTGCGTTTTCTGCAACACCCTGGATTCCAAACGTGGAAGCCTCTGCCCCGCAAGCTATTACCAGTTTGTCGTATGAGATCTTGAACTTCCATGGCTTCAATGTGTTCAATCCATCTGTCACTGTCTCACAATGCACCTATAATCCATGAACGTCACATAACACAGTCTGTTCATCTTCCAATACAGCTGCAAGTTGAATTGTCGGGTTTTGTTTTTGAAGCCTCGAGTTCTCGTAAATTTACAGAAATTTCAGAAAATACAGCCACCATAACCCTGTCTCTAGTTTCAGGAATTGAAAAAGTTTCACAAATCAAAGGATGGAGACTCGCCACCACTAAAAGGAACGGGCTCCACAAACACAAGTGAACTTCATGGGAAAGCGAAAGCTACCAGAGATTTGCCCATCGTGCGTAAAGAATTTCGACTTCTCCGATTCGTATGTTCTTACAAGAACTAATGTGACATTTGACAACGAACTTTGCTGAAAATGGATAGAATCTCGAGTGATCACACAGATGCAAAACATAAACCCTGAACTTACAAACAAACACGCCAAACATCACCCATCACCAGTTGCGGTTCCAAATCGATAATTCTGGCAATTTTACCGAATTTAAAAAATACGACCACAACACTGTATCGAAATTCAGGAAGTCGAAACACCCATAAACGGAAGAAGCATTCTCAATCGAGGCAGTATCAATGGGTAACAAAGAATTCGACGGCGTTACCTCATGATTCTTGGCGTCGAGATGCGTACAGTTGGCCATGAAGTAATACGATCCGGGTTCACGAGAAATCGCGGGTTGGATCCTGGAGATGGGCTCGGCCACAGACCTGAACTCGAGCGTGCCGACGCACGTCGAAGCGAGCAACGGAGTGAAGACCATGTGGTTCCTAGGCGAGACGCAAACGACGTCGTAGAGGCTGGTGTCGATCCCCTTCATGAGCCGACAGCCCGCCCAACCCGACCCGAGAACCACCGCCCTCGGCTTCTCGCTCTCCTTCGTGGGCCCCAGCCCCTCGCATCGGCG